CAGTGGTGCCTCGCTTGATGAGGATAATCCGTTCTGTTCAAATCGCTTTTAAGCGAAATCCCCGTTAAGCGAAATGAAAAAGCCCATTGAAATGGATTGAAAACCGGTTCAATGCGTTCCAGTGTGCAAAATATCTCAGCGTCCAGTGAAGATCCTCCATAGGGTGGCCATTTTCCGGTGCCTGTCTTGGAATAATCCGTGCTGAAAACAGCGGGGAGCCATTTTGAACAACAGGTGGCCATTTTGAGAGCCTCCGATCAGCTGTTTTAAAATCATCGTTTAGCGAAGAATCGGTTCCTGAAGCAGGGAACCGATCATTGTCAAACGAAAATCGCCCTTTGAAACATCGTTTTGTGATTGCAAAAGTGATCGTAAAAACTTCATCGTAAAGTGATTTCCTTGTCTAACGAGGTAATCGTCAAGTGGGGCACCACTGTAAAGTCATCTGCCTCCTTCCTTCCTTTCTTCTCCACCCCACTGGTGTCCAAAGCATTTTCTACAGCTGCTAGTTCCATTGCCAGGTTAGGACCAGGATTTTCCTTGTTTGATTCTATTATTGTACACCTGTTCTCAATTGACTGGTCGAAAGTTTAATTTGTGTGTTTAATGCCCTCATTTTTGGGAGAAAAGAAATTAGTGATTTTCTTTTCTCTCCCTTTCCTCCATTCTAAAAAGCTGCCATGTGGTTGCTCCATCTTCCAGCCCATCAAAGATTTACAGTTCACTATTGTGTCACCTTTCAGTCTTCTCTTCTGGACGCTAAATGCACCCAACTTCCTCAATTTGTTTCTTGAACCTCTTCTGTCTTTTCCACCCTCCTCTGCACATATTCCAGCTTTTCAATGTCCTCCGTAAAGTATACGACTGTGCTAAATTAGGCACTGTATTCCAAGGGGGGGTGTGTCTGACTAAAGCAGAGTAAAGTGGTATTACTACTTCCCTTCATCTAGGCACTATGCATGTGTTGATGTATCCACAGATAAGATGCTATTTTGATTTGGTTAAAGGTTTACTACAAATCTCTCTAGAACAAAATTTAAGTTGAAGGACGAGTGCTAACTTATTTTTAGCACAGTATTTATGTTTGGGTGGTGAGGAAGGGTGAAGGTTGTGTGGGGCTTTTATTGTATTCATTGAAAATGATCAGAGTAGCTATTATGACTGTGTAGGAGATTGTTTTAACTGGCAGGAGGAAAAGTAAATCAGAGAAACCACAAAAACAGTTTGCTGAATTTGAACCAGAGTAACATACACATTGGCTGGCTGTACAATGTTTTCATTAGAGGTTTTGCAGATTTAGTATGATAAAATTAATAACTCATTCCATCTGATATGTGTCATGACTCTTAACTGAGGCGAAGACATGCCTGAGGTAGTGACTGCTATTGTTTTTGAAAAGTTCCATTTTCCCTTCTTGATTTTAGGGCAACTTTTTTCTTATGGAAATATATCTTCAGCCAGCCCTGAGGATTGTGCTGTTGCCAAGTTAAAGGGAGTAGCCGCCTCCTTTTTCAAAGTCAATAGTTCTTAATGTTTTTATTGCTTCAGAACAACTGAAGTTTGCTTGCACAAAAATGTGGGAGTTAGTGGGTGACTGGTTAAGATTGTATTACTTCTGGCAACATCAAAGCTGTGCAGTGTTGTGGTGTTAGGGATTTGTCAGATTTCATTTTAGTATATTTTTCTTTTTCTCCTAGTCCCACTAGGGGGGAAGTCAACGTTTGCTCAAAAATGAGTATCGCAACTTTTCTTTTCAGCTCTGTGGTATGGTGGTGTACATGTATTTTCATTCTTTGTACTTCCTTTGAGAATTCAAATTACAATGTATGCAGTGTTTAGCAAAATATAGCTCGGACACTCAAGATACAAAGTGCAACGCTAAACTGCAAGATACAAAGTAAAATTCTCAATAGGAGAATACTTGAGAAAATTATATTCCTCCATAACTAATTTATCCAGAAATACAGAAGAGATTCTGTATTCATTATGATCCATGTTTTTAAATGCATGTTTGGCAGGATGGACTTGAAGCACTGCTTAAGGTGAGATCCATAAGTCTTCCATGCTGTATGAGAACAGTTACACAGGCAGCTTCTAGAATGCTGTCTATATAGAATAATAACAATATTATGATTATAATTTGCTTTCTGCATTGAATATTGGGAAACTGTTCTTGTCAAAACAGTGGGTTTTCAATAAGCTCATATTTTGTAGGAATAGCTAGGCAAAGTTGGCATTGTAAGAAGTCATAATGGAGTAATGATAAATGTGGCTGATAATGTTTCTTTGAATTGGAATTTTCAATTTTTTTGTAAATGGACTTGGGTTAAATTTAATTTTCATCCAGTGTCATGCTGGCATCTGACTAGAGATGGGGATGTTTGTGTACATTTATGAATATGAGTATCCCTGTCTCAGCTACAACTAATGTGGGTCTAGCCCCTGAAACCGGCCCATCCACTCATGTGTCGCGGCACTGGCAGCATCCCACTCTTCCTGCCAATTGTGGAAGTAGAGCCCGTCCACTCATGGGTCGCCGTACTGGCAGCATCCCATTCTTCCTGCCAATTGTGAAAGTAGCTCCTCTTGTCTTCGTGCACCTCTGGTCACTCTACATCTGACTGCTGCCAGCACAACTCTTGCCTTCGTGCACCTCTGGCCACTCTACATCTGACTGCTGCCAGCACAACAGAACTTTCCATCTTCTTACATAACTATCTTCTACATTAAAAAATAGCTCTACAGCATTTTCAAGTCTATTGGACCAGTTTTGTTGGCCACGTGGGACTGAGGACAGGGATTGTCACCCTCCTGATTCTGCTAAGAGAAAAGTTTAATTTCGTTGTGGTCTCTGTGGATCACACATTTGAGTGTTTCT